GTTCGTTGTATGTAGTAAGGATTGGCATTACTTTAAAAGGTTTTTATTCATTATTTTACATATATATATTTGTGTATGCCTGTGAGTTCTCTCTCACACAAACATATGAAAGTATATATTTGCAATAAAAACTATACTTCTTACTGACTTACATAATAATTATTAAAAAGCTTCTGGAAATATTTTTGTAGAAAGATGTTCTTCAAATAGTAAAACATTGCAAACAATCCAAATGTTCACAAAGAGATTATAAGCTCCATGTATACCATATCTACAATGTTCACTGCTGTATCCCTCCAGAGTTTACCATCAGTGCCCTGTACATAGTATGTGCTCAATAAATATTGTTGACTATTACTGTTGCTGAGAGCTTAAATGCATTCTGAAATATTCACATGATAGAATTTAATGCAATTATTAAAATTATATTTCCAGTAATTTTGTAAATGTATGGGAAATATTCATAATATAATGTTAAGAGACCATATGTTATATAAACATATATACAGTTGTATGTATGCATCTGTGTAAAAGACTGCAAGGAAAAACACCAAAATATTAAGTATGCTATTTCTGGTTTAGTAAGATTACGGGTAGTTAAAAATTCATTATTCTTATTTATTTATTACACTGAATAGGTTCAGAGGTAGTTCAGCTTCAGGCACACCCTAATCAGATAGACCAAATGATGCTGCCAGGAAGCCGTCCCTCTGTCTCTTTCTGTTCTTTTCCTCTGTGTTAACATCATCTCAAGGCAAGCTCTCCCCAAGGGGTGGAGGAGATAAGACTGAATAACAGCTTCAGCTCATTGTCTTCCAGCTTAGAGGCTGGAAGTGGGTGATCTTTCCTGATGACAGAAGCCCCCGGACTGACTTTTATTGGCACAGATTGGAGTCTGCAGGTGTGCTCACCCAGAAAAGGGAGGTATTATGCCACCTGATCCCCAGATGAGATTGGATGCTGACCAGGCAAAAACAAAAACAAACAACCCTCCCTCCAAAAACCAAACCAAAGAAGAATGCTCACTACGTTAGTAACTCCATTAGTTTACTTGAAATAAACATAAAATTTAGAATAATGACACTCGCGAAGGCACTTTTTTCTTCCATTTGTGATTTTATTCAATGACAAATCTTCGGTGTTGATGCTATGCCGTTTATCACCACACTGAACCTCCCTCCTTGACTGCAGACCCAACATCCCCCCACTTGCTTGACGTCTTTAGCTGAATTTCACACCTTCAACTCACTCAGAAATAAATCTCTTTCTTAAACACATGCATAAACAGACACACAGAACTTTTAAGTGTGTGTGTGTGTGTGTGTGTGTGTGTGTGTGTGAAGTAGAGAGAGAGAGAGATGATCTGTGTGAATACTTGGTATTTTTAAGTACCTTGTTGACGTATAGCTACTTAAATGAAGCAACAATTCCACATCAACTGATTCACTGGTAAAAAAAACCCCAAACTAACAAGCCAATGTGTGGGCCCATCAATGTGACCCTTTCCCCCCAAAATAATTAAAGGCATCATTATGTTTTGAGGCTAACAAGCAATGGGAAATAATATGATTTTCTGCTGGGTCTTCATAAGAAAATCTGTTAACCTATTTCTGGACGTCTGTTCAAACTGACGGTGCTGACGATTCCATGGAGAGAAAGGTTACGTGATGTCACCTTGGCCCAAGCACTGGCATGCGAACCTACTGGCAAACCACAGCGTGTCAGGTCCCAGAAATGAGTCAGTTGAGATGGAAATGCCAATTAGAACAGATGTATACTCCTATTTTTATTCATCAACTTACGGAGCTATTCTGATTGTCACAGTGTACGTATTTAGGTTGGTGAGTTTTAAGTTTTAAATATGAAAATGTCTTGTTTCCTGCGACTCTTCAAGAGTGTGGTTCTGATGAGGGAAATACCAAGCTGTAGATCTTAAGAACAAGCGATAAAATGGAAATTTTGTCACAAGAATCCTCTACAAAAAAATCGCAATTTTGAACGGATTTTGTAGTACTCTCGTTTATTTAATTTCTTAAAATGCAAACTAAAAACATAAAAGTATTTTAATGTTTATTCTGCATTTTGTTAAACTCTTATCTAAAATGAAATAGAGGATGAGGAAAGACAATTTATCAAGATATGAGTATTTTCCTTCCTTCGAAACCAGCCTTGCCTGAGGCCAAACTCATCATCTCCTGCCAAGACCAGCTCTTTTCCCTTGATTTCTTCTTTCCATTCCAAGTTTGATGATTTTTCAAATGTCATTTGCCTCTGTCTCAGCATACGGGTCTAATGTTGATCATGCTTTTCTTTATGAGTATGTGATGTGAGAATTAATCATGTTTGTGCTTAAAATGGAAAGACATTCACTTCTTAGCATTTGATTTCTTCCACTCATAATTTTCACTTGTCACCTAGTAATGGTATGACTTCGAGGCCCTTTGAGCTTCTAAAGATGATGGGGGATACAGGCAATGAGGAAAATCGTTGATTACATTCCTGGTTTGAGTTTGGGGAGGAAAAGTTTTTCATCAAGAACAAGTTGAGTCCATAGGAAGAACTTTAGAGAGTGAAAATAGCATAGCTTTAAAAAAATGTTTCTACTGCTTTTGTTTCAAAAGGTGCTTCCAAGAATCAGGTGAAGAACAATTTCTATTCATCTGTATAAATAGATAGTCCTAATAGTATTGTGGTAAGAGGGTAGTTTCCCTTCTGTAATGGTTTTTAGTATCGGTCTATTACATTCTCTAAGCACTTGCTTTGCAACAGTCTTGTGTATCCCTTAGCTCTTCGGGCCATCAAAGGTTCCTGCTCCGGCTATAAAGCATGGTACTTAAACGTGCACCAAGCCCTCACTATAGTTTCTCACCTACATTCTCCATGTGTTGACAAGTGTCAGCCTCTCTCTTATTTATAAGCCTTTTGTCTTAGTATTACTGTTGCCACTGGAAGTCACTATTGTTAGACCAAGAAAAGACATAGTTTGAATTTTTGACAGCTCAGATAAATGTCATATCAAAGCAATGTGATTATACCTAAAGTGTTTCCTGAAAATGTGGGTTACATCAAGGGACACAGTTTTAAGTTCAAGGAAGTTCACTTACTTAGGAAGGGTCCGACAGCCTTGGCCCCAAACAAGATTATGGGACATTAAGGACGTGGTGGAAGAAGAGGTAAGCGCCCTCCCCTCAGTAAGCTGGGTAACTGGAACGATATTATTCCCAGCCTGAAGGATGTCCTCACACCTGTTCATAGCATTTCTCAGGGTCATTTGGTAGCGTCTGGTGGCCCATTTCACTACAGTGCTTTGGTGGCTTGGCATGTTTTTTATTATTGTCGTGGTTTTGCTCAGTCTCTCATTATGTCACAGCTGCACAAATACAAGTTTTCTAAATGGTCTCCTTGCCTTCTAACTGACCCTAATCAAACTATGTTTTGCATGGCTGACCAAGTCATCTTTCAAAAAAGCCCCATCAGTTTATTAATCCAACCACTCAGGATTCACTTAACTTTTATGGAGCACCTATGATGGGAAGGCCCTTGTGACAAGTCTAGTGAGGGAGATAGACTTGTACCCTGAAAATTACAAGACAATGTGCTAGGTATTTTATCTGATTAAAATGTTTTCATATTTCTTTACTGTTATTAAGAACAAGGGTTTAAATTCGTCTCCTAAGATAAAAGATCCTTCACGATATAAATCGACTCTACCCCACAGCCTTGTCTCCAGCCCTTCCCCCGTGTGCACCCCATGCGTCAACTACATAAAATGTGCTGATGTTCCTGGGACCTGCACCAGGAACAACTGGCAAATTCTTCAACGTTTAGCTCACGTGTCATTATCTCCTTTTTGACTCTGAGTTCATAACTCCGAAGCGGACTTAGTCATTCACTCCTTTGGGCTCTTGTGGAAAATTTTATATATCCTTTTTTTCTCATGGGTCATAAAATACTTTATTTCATTATAATGTCCACTAAATTGCGAGAAGCTTGAAGGCAGAGAGGGGAGTGCATATCATGCCTTTTATTTTCCCGATGTTTAGTTCAACGGCTGGTATGCACAGAATGCACAATGCATTTTTCTGAGTGAATGAATAAATAAATGAATGAATTATGAAGCCAGCTTTTGGATTTACCATTGGATTTGTTTTACACTCAGCACTGTTGAAATACTCTGTACCGTTAAGTGATTATCTTCTGGTGGAACACCTGGTAGAAATCTATAACTACGTTGGCCAACAGCTCAAAGTGATTAGTGCAGCCGATTTACTGCAATTAGGAGGAGGACCACATTCCATAGAATTAAAAAGTGCATTGATTACACACCTGTACAACATAAAAGAGACTATGGGGGCTTCCCTGGTGGCACAGTGGTTGAGAGTCCGCCTGCCGATGCAGGGGACACAGGTTCGTGCCCCGGGCCGGGAGGGTCCCGCGTGCCGCAGAGCGGCTGGGCCCGTCAGCCATGGCCGCTGAGCCTGCGCGTCCGGAGCCTGTGCTCCGCAATGGGAGGGGCCACAATAGTGAGAGGCCCGCGTACCGAAAAAAAAAAAAGAGACTATGAGAACTGCAATAATCATGAAAGTATGTCACTCTTTCACTAATTAGTTAAATAGACCACCAGCATAGGTATTTCATAGAAATAAAGCCAGATAAAAGCAAAAGGTGAAAAGCAGGCTACAAGAAGAATTTAGAAGAATCACCAAAGAATTTTTGAAAGAAGATGATATAATTCCACACACATGTCCATTCACACCAGTATAATCATTTTCAGGTCGTGTAGGGCATTTTTAGAGTTACCAGAGGCAGCTGGATTAGAGAACATGAAATTCCATGGAAAGCAACGTGCATACAACTTCATTTTGGAGTAGAATCACATCAGTGTATGTAGGGGTTTAGAGCCTGGACCCTGGAAGCAGACTGCCTGGGTACAAGTCCCAGCTTCACCCCCTTCTAGCTATATAATATTAAGAACGCTACACAAACTCTCTATTTTTCAGTTGCCTTGTCTATAAAATGAAGATAATAAGACATATCTCATAGGATTGTTGAGAAGATAGAAAGAGGTAAGCTCTCAAAAAATACGAGTTTTATTACTATTCATCGATTTCCTCTTTGGGTTTTTATCATATCCTATCTTTACCATTTCTTTTAGCATGTATTCTCACTGGGACTCCGCTCTTCCATAAGTTTTCCATATTGTATGTCTTTCATATATTCCTGTAAAGTTGCTACATCCAAGGCATTGGCATTTTCTTTTATCCAGGAAATGGTAATGATCATTGGTGAATGCAAGAGAAACACGAAATCCATTAGTAAACAAGGTCACAAGATGATTGCATTCTTTTACTCTTATTGTTTGCTGTATATTGGCTCAGAAATCCTTTATGTTGCCTACAAAGGCTGTGAATCAGCTATTATCACTGAGTTTAGGGCTAGATTAAGCACATTTAATTGTAACCGCATTAACAAAAAGCTAAGTGCCCAGAAAAAATATTAAAAGTTTATATGTAGTGATGATTGTATTCCTGGGCCTCATAATTAGGATGGGATACAATAATTATTGTATTGGTTAGGACTATATCCCGCTTTGATTTGACAATCAGAGTCAAACACATAGCAATCTTCCCTGAAATATATGAAAGGCCTGTTCTGCTGAATGACTCACTGCAATATTTCAAATAATTTCTTTTATGATCAAACTTGAAAAGTAAATAACTATTCAGATGATGAAGAGTTGATAAAAATAAAATCCAGGCAAACAAATGCCAACAAAGCCAGGCATTGTACATAGTAGGAAACATAAATTAAGATTTTGGATTTAATACTTACTATTTTGAATGGAAACATTGAACTGTGAACTATATACTGCTAGTATGTTAGAAAGCTTTACTCTATTTTTTGATGAGCTAGTTTATATCCAATTTTAAATGGTTGTTAGTGCAAAATTAGCAAAGAAGTTCTTCTGTAATCAATCTACCACAAGGACAAAGAGAACAGAAGAGAAGAGAACAGTAACTGGAAAGAAAACACAAGTGGCAATTGACTTAAAGACACCTGAGAAAGTTAAATCCTAAGCTCGTAGTGGACAAAGTCAAGAAGTAACTCAACGTACTGGTATAATCTACGGAATCCTCTAAAGCCTCAGGAATTGGCATATCTGGCATTTATACCAGGTATTGTATTTATAGAAGTGTGAGGGTGAAGGTAGAAATAAAAACAGGAAGATATGTTGAAATTCTTTTTTCAGAAGTACTGTAGTTAGGCCCTTAAAACCTATTCCTCAGTCTTCCTAGTTGTTAACTGCCGCCACCTTTCCATCCCATCGTAGAGAAAACAGGAGATCTAGTTTATGACGATGTTAAAACCAAGGGTCTCTGGACTTGACACCCTAGGCACAGTTGAAGACTCAGGTGCTGTGGTAGGCAAAATACTGGCCTTCAGAGAGAACCACATCCTAATTTCCAGAACCAAGAATACATTAATGGCAAAAGGGAATTAAGATTGTAGGTGGAACGGAGGTTGCTAATTAGCTGACCTTCAGTTGGAAGTTGTCTTGGATTATCTGGGTGGGCCCAATGTAATCACAAGAGTCCTTATAAGCACAAGAGGGAGACGGAAAAGGGAGGATCAGAGAGACGGCAGCATGAGAAGGACCTGACTGCTATTCCTGGCTCTGAAGACGGAGAAAGAGACCACAAGCCAAGGAATGTGGGTTCCTCCAGGAGCTGGAAAAGGCGGGGGAACTTTATTCCCCCGCCATGTTGACTTTATTGCAGTAAAACCCTTTCAGATTCTGAACTATGTAACTGTAAGAGGATACACTTGTATTCCTTCAAGCCACTAGGTGGTAATTTGTCGGACTAGCAATAGGAAACTATACAGGAACTTACTGAAAACAGGAGGAGCGAATGAATATTTACATACTAAGTGCTGCAATATCCATTAGTCTTGGTCTAATGGTTTCCAGACTGGCAGCCAGGTGTTTGCCCTTTAGGCGGGACCCTGGAAGAGTCTTCTCTGGGGAAGCTGATCAGTCCAGACAGATTACGGAAAGATGCTGACATCTGGGATTGACCAATAAAATGGATCAGTCAGGTCACTTTATGGGAAAGCCCACAGTTGAGAAGCACCACAGTGGACTCAAGTTTACTAAAGCTTTCGAGTTGTGTCATGCCTAAGGCTCAACAGACATTTCAGGAAAGCACGTACAAAGAAATTCACAGACCAAGACAGAGTCTGAGGGACTCCAGAGGAAGATTCTTGAGGAAATGGTATGAAGCAATGATGAAGCAGAGTAGTAAATAGGCAAAGGTCGGTGACAGGGGGTGGGAAGAAAGACATCCCGGTCGGAAAGAAGCGCGTAGTTAATCCCTGAGGAGAGCTGCATCCTGTTCTGGCGTAGGAGCTGAGAGTCGGCCATTATGACTAAAGCTTAGAGAGCTAGAGAGCAGGGAGGAAAGTGAAGGAAAAAAGCCAAGGAATAGTGTGAAGGGATAAAGTATTTGAGGCCTGAATTAGGGGCTTCTAGCAGTCCACAATCCAATCGGAGAAAGAAAACATTTATATACATACATACCCATACGCATATGTTATATATACATAGTACATATATACACACAAATATACGTAATACTTACAGATGTATATATATAATATATTTTTATACATAAATCTCAACTGCTATCTGGTATTTGATATTATTTTTTTTCTGATGGAAGGATAGGAGAAGATAATGCAGGAATTATTTGTTCCTTTATATCAATATATAATTGAGGCAAAGAGAGGCCAGGCCTTCATGAGACGTAGCGGCAGAACTGAGAAATGAGATATGGTCAGAGTAACATTTCTGGTGACTGTTCCCTGGGTCCCACATCTGTCAGGGTGTTGAAAGACCTGTGATAGGTCTATTGAATATTATATCTTTCCTCCTAATGTCATAGCTTTGTCATACTCATTTATTCCCAGGATGGCTAAGAAGCAAAAATTCAATCTCATGGCATTTCTGCAGCTGGATGGTCTGGGATGTTTAGGTTTCTGGTTTGAATTGACTTTGCTACTTTTTCCCTGAAGGTTTTTGCAACATCGGGAGCCTCCTGTCTGGAGGGAAGGGAAAGCACTCCCTCTTTGGCAACGCATATGACACTGAATTAAAAAACAAAACAAAACAAAACTGGCTTTGGCCCAATGGAAAAAGAATGTTTCAACTCCCAGAAAGGGAATGACATAGGGAAAACAAAACAAAAACTAGACCATGCTCTTAACCGTCCAACTGTGCCGTTAAGTGCATCAGAGTTTTAAGCGGTCTGCAAAGAGGTTCCTGAATAATCTAGTTAATCTAAGGGAGTGGCTCCGCATTAATTGTGACTCTTCAAATGGAGTAACTGTCCATGCCCTTCTCTGGAGAACACACTGGAGAAAAAAAACGTGGCCCTTCTGACTCACCAACTTGTTCTTAAAACAGCAACAAGAGCAGCAGCAAAATACTGGGTTTAGCTGTTGGATTTCTTGATGCAAGAGCTGCTGAAGGAGGCTGGGATCTGCAGCCAGCTTGAAGCTGTCAGCTTCATCCCCCACATCCTGACAGCAAATAGTGGTCACATTTTAGTCTGCCTACTCCTTATTTATGCAGCAGTCTGACTTTTCTTTATGAGCACCCATCTTTTTGGAGATGTAGCGGTAATTTCACTGAACCTATATTGTGGGTGTCTAGTACAATGATTTGTATAGAGTAAGCCCCTCAGTAAACACTGGTTGAAGTGAATTGAATAAGATTGAAAAACTGAAAGGGTGAACTAGAAAAATCTTCTATAGACAATATGCTGTAAGCCTCCTTTAATTGTACGCATTGTTATTACATCAAAGCATTATATGATTGTATATTGATTCAATTGAACAAATATTTACTGAGCCTTCCTGGCCACACTTCACCAAGAGCTTGGAAAGGTAGAAGAGAGAGTAGTACAAATGATATTGAACAGATCCCTGGCTCTCATGGACTTTATAATCCAGCAGGGCAGATGGACTAGAATGATGGTCTGTTTTTTAAAAATTGGGTAATAGAGACAGTTGGAATGTCCTTGAAGCAAAATCTTTTACTTTACTTACCCATAAAGTACCAGGTAAATGAAGGGGAAACAAGAGCCTAGTCTGAGATTGAGAAAAAAAAGAAACAAAAAGACAAAAAACCCCAAACCCAGGGTGCATAGTGTTTTCTGAGGGTAAGTGAAATGCTCCTGGAGGCATGTCACCAAAAGCAAGGGCTTCTTGTTTCAGAGCGAAGACCTGACTCACAGGCTGGTTCTCTTCCTTTCCAACGTCTCCTTGACTCCCTACCCATTCCCTCATCTCTTCATGAGTAACTCCCTGGGGCTTTGGCATAAACTCTACACAAGGGAGTTACCCGGCAACCATGGTGCCCCTCCCCCAATCCTCCACGCCTCACAGACGCCCTCTGCTGGTGTGGCTCGCTCATGAACTGTAGTATTCAGGAATCTGTTTCAAAAGTTTGAGAGTTGTGAAAGGCTTTTGAACAAGAAAACACTTATGTTGGCCTTGGAGGAACTTGTCTTCCTGGGTGCTCAGTATTTCTTGAAACTGTGCCAGCTTTGTGGAGGCATCTGCCAGGCATTAAATGGAGCCCTCAAACCAGACACTGATGGGGTGACCCATGGAGGAGCCTACTTGTTTTACACTTTCTAGGGAGAAAGGAAGCTACCATAATCTGCTCTTATCTCTTAAGCTGCTTCCAGGGACTTCCCTGGTGGTGCAGTGGATAAGACTCCGTGCTCCCAATGTAGGGGGCCCGGGTTCAATCCCTGATCAGGGAACTAGATCCCACATGCATGCTGCAACTAAGAGTTTGCAAGCCACAACTAAGGAGTCCTGGAGCCACAAATAAGAAGCCCGCCTGCCACAACTAACGAGCCCCATGTGCTGCAACTGAGGAGCCCGCCTGACACAACTAAGACACAGTGTAACTAAATAAATAAATAAATATTAAAAAAAACATTTTAAACTGCTTCCAAATGGTTTGGAATCATGCTGCTTTGAGAACAGTAGTGAGCAACGCTAGTTTGTCTGTCCAAAGCCTTCTGGAAACAATCCCACTCTCTCGGGAACTGCTTTTCCTTGCACTCTAGCTATGCGGTTCTAGAGGGAGCTGCCATGTTCTTACCTGACATCACCTATCTCACCACAGCGGATGGTTCAGGTGTGCACCGATTATCCAAAATGGGCAACTCGAAATAATTCCTGGGATTTTCCTGACTGGAATTGAGGAAGGAGAGTGAGTTTCTCTCAGGCTGTGGGAGGCTTGGGGTAGGAAGCTTGCCAACTCTTGGCAGTTATGTTTTCTATTATATGGGATCAGATGGTCTGCAGTGGGATAAGATACATGTGATACACGGAGAAAAGCAAAGATAAGAGCTACACTACAAGAATCCTAGTGGCTTTGAGTCCCCAGTTCCTATTGTTTGGGAGGCTTAACTCTGCATGGACTGGTTCTTTAATCCTTTCTTCGGTTAGAAATACATCAGTATGCTTCCAAATAATCTTTCACTCTTTGTGTATCCTTCTTCACATCGAGTTTTTATCACTTGCAACCTTTAAAAGAACTCTTATTAATAAAAGGATTTGCTCTGGCGCTGGCTCCTGTCTCCACTTCTTCTATATTCTCTCCTTTGCTTTTATAAGCCACCAGCAATTTTCATCCTTTTGTGTATAACTTTTTTAGTTTATTTCCTCTCCACTTCTCTCTGGCCTTATATTCTTTCCTTTCTCTCTCTCTTTTCCCTCCCTTCCTTCCTTCTCTCTCTCTCTCTCTCTCTCTCTCTCTCTCTCTCTCTCTCTGTCTGCCCAGATGCCCACTGTTCTTCCTTCCTGCTGAGTAATTATCATTCATTTTATGTAAACAACCAAAGACATTTTCAACTGCAGCCTGAAGGCCTTTGGAAGTGATTGTTTGCAGCTATTATTTGGGATTCTGTTAAAGGTAAAGATTCAGAAAATAGAAAGAAATGTGTTGCTCCTGTTGCTTATGATTCTTTTTTTTTTTTTTTGCTTTCTCATATTTGTTTTGCTTTTATTAAAAATCATGAAAGTATTTTGTCATTGATCACATGAATTTGTTGCATAAATACCTGTTTCTCATTTGTCCTTGTTGGTAAACTATGTAACATTAAAAGATCTATCTGAAGATGACTTTGTCAAAAAGTATCCCCTAAGAGAGTCCAGAGACTTACAGCTTAATTCTCCTTGGGAAGTACGAATGGATAAATGAATAAGTAAGTGAATGGGTAGGTGAATGAATGTATTTCCCCTAAACGAAAAGCAGATACCATCTTGGCAAAGCCTGATTCAGTATAAGACCCTCAGATAATTTACCAGGCTGTCAATTTCTTTCAGCAGGTATGCCTGTGCTATTTGACCAAAGATAAATACTCAGTAAATTCTCTGAGCTAAACCTGGCAATGGTATATTTGACAGCTTTAGATAGAGAAGGAAAGCTATACTTCTGGATTCATCTCAGCCAGGAAAGGAAAGGAAGATGCTCAATACAAATATTTTAGCAAGTTACAAAAACAGTGAGAGAGAGAAAGTTCAGACTAAAAATAATCTTTCCTCAAATGAAACATCTGGCCACGGAGAGTCACAGATGCGGTATCCTTGGTCTAAAGGGACCTATAACCCATATGACTTTAGACGGAGTTGCCACATGGATGGCAGATTAGGGGAAAAATAAGCCGGTTAAGGAGAAACTGAGGTAAAGAGAAAGATAGTATTCAGGATATGGAGAGATTGGTACATCGTATAGATAGAGTACCCATTGAAATGTACATCAGAGCCACATTTGTGCAAGATACTCAGGTCACATGTCGTATGTCTTCTAACCAAACAAAACCACTTGAAAGAATGTGTACTAAGGAAAGTCTCAGGAGACTGTACAGACATCTGGATATAAGGATGTTGACTGGAGTGTTACTGTTAAGTACAAGGAAACAATGGAAACAACTTAAATATCAACAAGAAGTTGCCGTTTGCATTATGGCATATCCATAAAGTGAATATCATGCAGCAGTTAACAATGATATTTATTGATTTATATTCATGAGCACGGATATATATTCAACATACTCACATATAATTTTAAATGAAAAAGCAGATTTTTTTTTTTTTGCGGTACGCGGGCCTCTCACTGTTGTGGCCTCTCCCGTTGCGGAGCACAGGCTCCGGACGCGCAGGCTCAGCAGCCATGGCTCACGGGCCCAGCCGCTCTGAGGCACGTGGGATCCTCCCACACCGGGGCACGAACCCGTGTCCCCTGCACCGGCAGGAGGACTCTCAACCACTGCGCCACCAGGGAAGCCGGAAAAAGCAGATTTTAAAGTGGTGTGTAGAAAGTGGTCTTGCTTTTGTTTATAAAAATATTAACATGTATATGAATTCATACACAGAAATACAGAATTTTTAGAATTCTGAAAAGTAGTGCCAGAACGTTTACAGTAGTTCTATCTGGGATTAGATGGATTTAAAAATATGTTTGCTTACCTTAGTTTTCTGTTTTTATATAAGGAATGCAAGTTATTACCATAATAATATAAGGTTTTAAAGGGGAGATGGGGACCCTGATAAGTCAATCACTTCCTGCCTTCTCACATTCCATTCTCAGGGACCCTACTCTCCCCACCAACTTCTCCTTACCCTCAGTCCCCGGACGAGGTAGGTGGAAACCCCCACCCCCACCCCCGCATCCTGGAAATTTCCCCGGGGCCCTGGAACTGAGACACTGAAAGGCAGAGCCACGTGGTGAGTGTCTAAGTCGAAAAGCCGTGCAGAGCAGAATCCAGAGTTAGCCCTGGACCGGCCAAAGTCACACACAGGCTGAGCTGTGGCAGAGCGGACAGCCCCACAATAAGGCCTGAGAGGCAGCCTGCACGGAGGGAAGGGGTGGAAGGCAGATGCCAGAGGGGAACAGAGCTGAGAGACCTAGAGACCCACTGGGCAATGGAAGGCATAGCTTTACTATCACCCCCTCTCCCGTTCCTTCGTGGCCCGACGCTATGTCATTTCTGGCTTTTTTTAGAACATCTGTGAAATTGTTTTATTTTTTTTTAATAAGAATCCCTCTTACCCTAGGATTGGAGAGAGCTTATATTAATTGGGATAGCCTTAATAAAGACAGAAACGTGTACTCGGAAACAAGCAGCAGGGCAGGGCGGCAGAATGGACCCTGCATGGGCTGCCATCAACACACCACTGTCACCTTCAGCCTCTGTGCGAGGCTCACCAGCGTGTCCAGCACCGAGCTGGGCTTTTGCTTTTTCATCCTTGGCCCCAGCAACTGGGAAGCTGGGGCGGCAGTTCTCTTTCAAGGACCAGCTGGAATAAAACAAGAAGTAAAATCTTGATCAACGTTTCTCCTGAGGCAGCTGCAATTCCTGAGTCATCTCTACCCCAAAATGTGGTTTTGTGGGTTTCCTTAAAGACTTTTGAAGGTGAGGAATGTTACAGGGCAGCTCTCCTTTTCAACATTCTGAATTCCGTTGTGCAGAACTTGGCCTGCTATGCTTGACAGTCTTGGTGGAAAAAAAGCACTGTATAACTGCATCATCAATGTAATAATATAAATTGAATTAGAATGTTCATTCTGTTCTGCCGAGTTTCTTTCCTGAGCTGATTATGTCTGAAACGGCTTTTGTTAGAAGCTTTCTCATTATGAGGAACTCACAGTCGTGTTCCAGCCCTCCATCAAGTACCACCTGTTTGGCATGTTCTACTCTTATTTTTTTAAGTAACCCATCATGAGGATCTGAAGCACAGAGTTATGGCATTAGAATTACAGCCTGCTGTTTCTCCTGATTACGTTTTTCTGTTAGTAAGTTAAGGTTGCATTTTGAAGAGTAAAGGATGACAGTTTGGATACTTGATTGTTGACGAGGTCAAGTCGTGGCCCAACAAATGATGATCTTAACGTTTTCTCTCACAATCCTCTCCTCGTTGCAGAATTCATCTTTTATCCTTATACAGAAGTATTTACAGTGTCCTGATTCACTCGCCACTCAAGTGAACTGGATAAGTGTCTAAATTATGTATTGCTAGGGATGGGTCTTTTAAAAAAATATAAAGAGACTTTATTTTTTAGGACAGTTTTGGAATTACAGAAAAATTGAGGAGCTAGTTCAAGCAGGGAGTTCTCCTATGCCTCTCCCCAGCACCTCCAAACCAAGTTTCCCCTATTATTAACACTTTCATGAATATTGTACATTTGTTACAATAATGGACCGATATTGATACATTATTAACTAAAGTCCATAGCTTATTTGGATTTACTTCGTTTTTACCAAATGCCTTTTTTCTGTTCCAGGATCGCATCCAGGATACCATAGTATATTTAGTTGTCATGTCTCCATAGGCCACACTTGGCTGTAACGAAACCCAAAACAAATAAGAGCCCCAAAGAACAAATTCTAGGATGAGGGACACAGGTCCTGAGATTTCCCTTCTCCCTGTAACTCTCACACTGGGCGTGTATCTCTCTTCCCTTACATTGGTCTGTCCCTCACCATTGGTAAGATAGGCTGTAATTTTCACACATGAAGATTAAAAAGTGAGGAATAAGAGAATTTTAAAATATATGGAAAAACAGACAACTCAATAATAATAAATTCTCTGAATTATAGCTTTGTTACCTCCTATCCCAATAGAAGTAATCAACAGGCTTCACTCAACTCCCAGAGATCTTCATTCTAATGTAAGGTTGGTACCAAGGTATGGCTTTCCTCCCTCCTGGTGTCCTAGGTGGCTTGGTTTGGTATTGTCTGGTTTTGTCTGTGTTCCTGGCCCTCAGAAGGTCCTTTGATGCTCAGACAAATGCCAAAGTCCTTTCTGCACTAAAACTCAACCCTCTTCTGAGTTTGAAGGTCTTAGATGATTTCTTCCTACTTAGTTTTAGTTTCTAGTTTGAGACACTTGCTGTGGAGGACAGCCCAAGCTTCAGGATACCTGCAAAGTCTAAGGTCCTCTTTCAGAGGCCACGTTCCTTCCTTGTTGAAGAAAGGTGCTAGGCATTTCATCAGGCAAATATGTTCCCGTTGGCACCATGTGACCTTGCTTTGTCTTCTTGGCCGAGGCTGACTAGACCAGACGTGGCCATTGTGCCAAAGACAGTCTATAAGCCATGAGGTTGTGGAGCAAGAATTTTGTTCAACCAGAACAATGGAGACTACATTGAACACATCAGAATTTCTGAAAAGAAACCTAGAGAATGAAGGCAAATTCATAGGGCAGAAGGGCCATGAAAGATGGTGAATAACAGAAATGGTAGGCAAGCAGAAGTCCTGAGTCAACTGAAGTGATGAGTAAGTGGAGACCAGATGCCACAGGTAGTTGTTTGTCGCAGTGGGAGAGGTTCAAGGAGAGACAGGAAAAAGCTGACTCATTATACTAGTAGAATTCTATGAACTTCAGGGGCTGAGGGGGTACAAGGTCATTGGGATCTAGAATTGCCTGAGATCCCAAGCCAATCTCCCAGCTCATGAGCTTTGTTCCTTTTCTGGGAGGCCTAATCGTTCAGGTATCTTCAGGTTGTCGTCACTTCCACGTGCATCCTTACATTATACTGGTCTTGTTCCTCAAGGAAACATAACGGGGGTTAAAAGGTACACACGCCTCGTCTCCACTCAGGTTGGCAGGGGTTGTGTCCGCACTGCAACTGATCCAACCCTCTCCAGCTCAGCTTCTTTGCCCTGCACATCTCAGAGACATTCCAGATTGTTCCATAGAGGTTTGACCTTCATCCCCAACATAGGGAAGTAGCCTTATAAAAGCCCAGTTCATGCAACAACACTAATGTATGTCACAGGCAAAAATGGTTGTACCCCCAAGATTTTCCACCCCCTCGCATTAGGTCCTTTGTTAACTGACTTACCACAATCAAGTCAAGTTATTCGTTATTTGATTTCAGACTGCTTATAGGTCTTCCCTTCACCTGCCCTCTGATAATGAGTCACTAATATTTGCATATGTAAAGTAGTATCCTCAGAAATGTACATGTGTTAATTCATTTAATCATCTCATCAACCCTCTAAGGAAGGTATATTCATTATTCTTTTTGTACGTAAGGACGTTAAGCCTTAGAGAGGTTATGTAATTGGTCAGAATTCACACATATAATAAATGGGAATTGACACGTAATCTGGTACTGGAGCCTTAGTTCTAAACCAGGGACCATGTGCTCCGAGGCCCATGGCCCAGTGACGCAGTCCTTCTTACGTTGTGGTAGTTGGTACTGAGGCTAACCTTCACTCGACTGCCTGCCTGGGTCTCCCTGAGGTCTAGACTCCTCATTGGCGTGCTCAGCCTGACTGTAGACAAATCCCTGATAAACACAGCTTAAGGGTGAATATTGTGGAAATAAACTAGAGGAGCACTTCACTCTAGAGTCATAGGAATTCAACCCCAATGTCTGCTTCCTCAAAATAACCTGTCTGAACCAGGCTGCCTCAATGTCCAGTCATTTCTGCCGTGGGATGATTCCACAAAGCAATGTTTCCTCCTAGGGATTGGTATATTTTTTCCATTTCATCTGTTCTTTTTCCCTGGACATCAGGGCTTACAAAGCAATGGGGCAGTGAAGGGTGTAGTCAGAAGGGATCCCACAGATCATGCCCTGTCCTCCAGTGGTGGTGAATTCCTGCTGAGTCCCTCTCCTCTGGGGTCCTGCTGCCCTGCATGGCTGTCTGTGTGGCGGGCTCTGGTGGGTGCTGTGATGGAAGTGGTCTGCTCTGTTTCCAGGAGCCTCCATTACAAAAGTTCCCATTTCCTAAGGGGTTCTGCTCCTCCTGTTATGGTGATCTCTTTCCTAACATAGACAGAAGGGAAAAGATTGGTTCCAAATTATAAAGCTCGTCATGCCAACTTCAAGTTGTTCAAAGGTATTTTTTTTCTCTCTTAGGAATTCCCTACCTCCGAAGAAAGGCCCAGTGTTACAGGACTGTCAGCTTCCCCTACCCTTTCTGAGCAGTTTGGAGGGGAGAACTAGCATATTATAGTGGGTGGCTGACACTATTATTCGCCATTCCAGGCGCTTCCCTCTCCCTTTCCTTATTGGACAAGCCCTTCTCCTACTGCAGGAAATGCCAGTTACTCTTTTCCCAGTCTCCCTTACAACTAGTGCATAGGCAAGTAACTCAATATTGATCCATGGGACCTGAAGAAATGTCTGCTAAGAGTTTGGAAAAAGGTTTCTCTTCCTAGAAATGAAGAAGCATCCCTTTTCTCTTTTCTGTATATGATTTGTCAGCATGTGACCTCTGGAACCATTGCAGCCTTTTTGGGGTCATGAGGGAAGGCATCAATGTCACATTGTGAGTGCCAGAGCACAATGAAGAAAAGTATCTGGGTCCCTGAGCCATTGCACCCAACTTGGGACTTCCCTGCCTTGACTTACCTTATAAGTAAGGTAAGTTATAATGATGGTAATTATAGTAATCATTATTGTTATTACCAGCAGTAATGACAGCTGATACTTATACAAAGCCTATTACGGACCAGACACATTTAATTATTATGTGACATTATAAATATCTGTATTGTTTGAACCACACCTTTTAGTTAAGTGTTCTGCTATTTGCAGCTGAAAACACCCTAATTGATGTGCTTGTCACTCTCTGGTCCTTGTTCTTTCTGAGCATTAGAGGTCTTCGAGAGACTTCCTCAGGAAGCAGGCTTGAGCCTGCACCCTCTAAAATATATGATCCTCCCATCGTGGGATGAATCCTCTTTTCCCAGGGTCCTTCAATGAAACCCCTTCTCCTGTAAAGCATCTTGAAGTCCACACACAAAGGGTCCTGGGAAACCAGTTGTGAACTTGCCCTGTCTTTATTTTCAGCCTGGTGATTGCTGAGTTACACAGACAGCAGGAATTTGTGCACATATAGTTCCTAGAGGACCACTCTCTCACAAAAACATCTGAAAATGAGGGCTTGGAGTGAGAATGGGGGAAATATTTCTAAGAGTCCTCTAATATTCTCATTCCCTTACTATAATATTTCAGAAAGTCAGTCAGGTTACTCTAAGGGCTCAGGATGCCCGGAGGAGCTATAATTAGTCCACTGCAGTGAATGTTTATCTGCACATGTCTGCCCACAGCAATCATTTTCCTGGCTCACACATTCCACTTGACAATACTCTGCCTATATTACATAACTTTATATAATAAAGTAAATGCCATCACCAAAGAGCTCTATAAACTATAAACTATTATACAGATGTAATTTATGATGATCGCAAAGATTTATTCATTACCTGCTTTCAATATTACTGACTCGGGGTCCTAGGAATATATTTACATCCTAGTCTGTTTTATTACCTTATTTAGCTGTCAACCTAACCTGGTTTTCCACCAAATATATTGACTGTGTTAGAACCAGTCGTGTTTTCTTTCATTGCTTTTGAATATGTCTCACATTTTATTAATTATTATGATCAATGTTGGTCAACATTTCACAATTTACAGTTTGCTTTTCACGTATGTTAACTCATGGGAGATTCATAACGACCCTCCTTAAAAATAAGAATAGGGAGGCTCAGACTTGTCCAAGATGACTCAGGAAAAACCAGGGAAAGAGCAGTTTCTTCTGAAGGCAAGGAAAGTTCTTTCTTCTGGGATGTGTTGACTTCCCTTTGGATCATACATGGCTTTGAGATCAAAGAGGGAGAACAGGGGCAAGAGATTAGAGTTCAGTAAGGAAGGATGGCACGCTGACAACAAGCTAGGTAGTGTCTTTCAGGCTGGAGGGGGCTTGGGGGAGATCTGATGAACTGGTGATACCCTGAATGACCACATGGTGGACTTCAGTGGCTCCCGGGCAAGTTATTTGGGCAAGTTTCTTGCCTCAGTTTCCTCATCGGTAAAACAGAGTTCCCAATAGCACCCACCTCATAATATCGTTGGTTTACATGCGTTAGAACAGTGCTAACATAATAAGCACTTCATAAACATTTGCTAGTTTGGGTTCTATCCTGTTCTGAAGAACACTTAGTGTGGTTGAGGAGAGAGTAGGGCAACTCAGATGTTTTCCTCTCCCTACAGACCCTTCCCATTTCTCTATCCTTGGAAAAGTTCGGGATAACACGTAGATTACAGAGCCTGTGTGTGAATGTCCTCAGGGATCATCTAACCTTGATTGTAAGCACCCTGACAGTAACGAAGCTTGAGCTTAAATGAAAACTGTAATATTCAGCTCTGCTCACTGTTTAAAGTATTTCTTTAAAGAGCTTAATAGAGGGGAGCATCAGGACGCTTGGGCATTAAACACGTCTTCCAATGTAATATTTTAACAAGGTAAAGCAAGCCCTTGGATTAATCTTCCCTTAAACTACCCATGAGCTCAAGATGCAGAGAAAAATATCCTCAGAAAATTGTGGGGCCTCTTTTTGAACCCATGTGTCAAATGCAAGAAAATTACAGGCGCTTGACTCCTAAACCCCATCAGGGCTGGCTTGATCTCTCCTTAAAATCCCGAGACAAAAGTGACGATCCCAGAGGGAACTGATACTATTGCTTCTTTGTCGGCCCTTTTAAGGTTCTGAAGCAGCAAACTCTGGCTGGGTTTTTCTCAGGGGCTGGTTGGGGGGCTGGGCCAGTTGTGTCCACTGAGATTGTTCCCTGTGCCGGGCCCCATGGTGTGTCTTCACGCAAAGACTGTCTTTCCTCGGAGAGCTCCCAGTTTATTTTTAACAACTGGTGCCAGGACCTAGTGTTGTTTGCCTGTATCAGAGTGTGGGCAGTGAGGACGCACGCACGCAATCTCAGAGCATGGGGGCCACTTGTCTGGGGTTAGTCATGAGGAAGTGGCTGCCACCTCCTCTGGCAGCCCTTTATAACCAAGCCATTTTAGGTTCCCTGTCCTTATGTATACAGTTTAATTCTGAGCTCTTTAGTTTAATTTTGTCCTTTGAATTCCTTTATAAATTACAGCATCTTGTGATGATTGTTTTTCTTTCTCAGGAAGGAAAGGACTAGCACATAAATCTCTGAAATGAGAGAGAGGAAAGGAGAAAGGATGAGGATAAAAAGGAAGAGGGAGCTGCAGGGGAGAGAAGAGAGGCAGCTATTCTCTTCTGTTTCTCCTTTATCTTGGATGTTGAGACAGACACAAATGACCTCAGTGGACCTCAAAAGGCAGATGGAGTAGATGATTTCTGTGAGGTTTGATTTGATAAGTTGGACATGGATTGTCCAATTACCCCAAATATCCCCTCCACTGTTTACTCTGATTTATTCCCTTGAGTTAAGCACTGCCTTTCTCTAAGAGGCTCCTTAAAAGGCAAATCCTTCAAGAAGGCTAATCATGAAGTGTTAGATGCTTGATAAGAATGAAATTCACATATTAGTGGTTCCCAAATCTAGCAGATCACCCCAAGCCCCTGGGACACTTGTTAAGCATACAGATTCCAGGGCCTCACCCAGACCTGGGGAGGAGTTGGACTATCTAATGATGCGAATCTACATCTGTATTTATAAAAAAGCTTTTTAGGTATTTGAATGATTTGGGAATTTCTTACAGACTCCCAGGCATGCTTCTATGTCTGATTTGTCTTCCTAGGAAGCAAGGAAGGGCAAAGTAGCAGATCTGTACTGGGTCCTTTGGAAGAATGAAGGTTCTAGAAAGAAGGTAAAGGGGATCCTTTTTTTAAAGGCTGTGGAGGCTTCCAAAAACAGTTTGCCTACCTTACAGCTTTGCTCTAAATTAGCTGTGTCAGTGTGAATGCGCCTTCATTCAAAGCCATCTTTATCAATACAGTTTCATAAAACCATTGCAGAAGACTTTGTTTTCCATCTGGCAGTTCAAATGTTGAAGCCACTCAGCAGGTTGATACTGATCCTCTGGCCTTGATATTTTGCTGGTTTAAAGTAAGAACCAGTTTATGTCAGAGAAGACAGAGCTTAATTAATTAATTAAAAAGAACACGGGCATATTCATTTACATCAGCAGGTTACTTCAGTTTACCTGTAGGTGTGATAATCACGGATGGAGGTCCTGGTGATGAAGCATCATCATTTTGGCTTCTGTTCCTTCCTTTCTCAGTTTCCTTATTTCTTAGACTAAAAGGAAGCGATTAGAGTAGATTCTATTCTTGGGGCACATGAAGGTAATGGGACTCCATGTGCTATTTTCAATAACTGAATAAGAAACCAGGGTTAAACATCATATACTTATTTTGCAGTAAAAGTGCATGACCTAACAAAAGAAAAATCATGTTTCTTTGTTTTTTTGGTAATAAGTATTTCAGCTCATTTTTTTGAACACTGGTTCACTCATGTTGAATCGAAGTTATGATCTGGAGTTATACTGTTGATAAATAGATAAACAGAAAAGAAACAAAACGTTTGAAAACGTAGGGTCCATTTGTTCATTCATTTGGTTGTTTTAGCTAAAAGGAGGTTCAGATATCACTCCCGGGAAGCATTTAGATAACAGAATTTAAAATATTCCAAAGCCTTTGAAACACAAAGCAATGGGAGAAATATTTTAAATAGGGCACTTTCGGGCTTCCCTGGTGGCGCAGTGGTTGAGAGTCCGCCTGCCGATGTAGGGGACGCGGGTTCGTGCCCCGGTCCAGGAGGATCCCACATGCCGCGGAGCGGCTGGGCCCGTGAGCCATGGCCGCTGGGCCTGCGCATCCGGAGCCTGTGCTCCGCAATGGGAGGGGCCACAACAGTGAGAGGCCCGTGTACCGGCAAAAAAAAAAAGAAATAGGGCACTTACCATGAGCTCACAAATGGGAAATTCTACCACATTCTAAGCCCTCTGTTTTATGGTGGGGCTCCTATAGGAAGCAGATTCTGAGATGGAGACTTTCGAGCAGGAAGTTTATTGGGGAGTACTCGTAGGAGACACCCCAGTGAGGCAGTGAAGGCAGTGCTTTGGGGCAATGCAGAAATCCTCAGCCAGTCCTACAGAGAGCTAAGGAACTGGGATGACCTTCAGAATGATGGCAATTTCCAGAGAGGTACTCAGCAGCTGAGCCATCGGTCCCGCAAACTCCAGGAGGTACATGGAAGCGCACCAGAGCGTCCACCCAAGATGGGTTCTGCTTTTGTGTGGTCACTGATGCTCTACATCCTGTGATACACATGGGCACCCGTTCCCCCCACACCCCTAGGATCTGTGTTGTCACATATAACGTATAATGCCTTTTCTTTAGACTTCCTGGTTGCTGAAGAGCATTAACAGAACACATTAAGCTACTTTAAGATGCCAATTCTTTATGCGTTTTCACAGGAGGTAGGTCTCAGAGTTGAACACTCATGAATACTCTTACTGGTAATAAGACTTTGGCCATGAAGGGAAGGATGGGGCAGGGAAGAGAAACCAATAGTTACATGTACCTACCATATGCCAGGTTCTGTACTAGACTCTAGAGACAAAACAGTGAATTGGACACAGTAGGAAT